TGAGTGATAGGAAAAAAAAAGGAGAAGCAAAGGACTGAGGTACCAGATCCTGGATAACTGGAAGCCAACTATCTTTGTTAATTCTCAGGTTGGTTCGATAAACTGCTGTTAAGCATTTGTTCTGAATCAGGCACTGGGGGATTCAGAGATGAATGGCCTATGATGCCTGCCTTTAAGGGTCTGATAGGGGAGAGACAGGGAGATAGTTAATTACAACATTTTCATTTATCCATCCATCCATTCACATATCTATATTTGGACGGCTAATCTGAACAGATGATGGGGGTATACCTATCGTAGATCCTAAATTGTAGCCAGGATCCAATGTTGGCAGCCTTGAATATTTTAAGCAAGCTGAACTATGGAAAATATTCTTTTTCTGACATTTCACAGATTTACCTCTTCCCCAAAGCCATCCCTAATTCTTAGGAGATGGAAATTGTCAGAAATCAGGAGGCAGCAAAGTAGTGAATAGTTGTGTGTTAGTTCCCACTCTATATAGAATTAAGAAATGACCATGTCCTGTTGATCCAGCCTGGGCGGTGATGGTGGTGCCACGGTGGTTGGGTCAGGCAGTGACCTGACAGATGAGAGGGGGCCTCCAGGCTCCACCAGCCGCTAGCTGAGGAACCCAGGGCAAGCATCTCTGAGCCTCCGTTTGGCCCTCTGTAAAATGCGGAACGAGCCGTACCTCTCTCAGAAGGTTGTCATGAAGTGTAAATGACTTAATAGACGTGCTGGGAAGAATGCTGAGCACATGGCATATACAAATAAATGGAAATTATTCGTGGTAGCAGAGCTGGGCAATTTCGTTTGGCCAACCATCAAGGCATATGTCTGACATTCTCTGGCTCAAGTATTCTGACTCATTTTTAGGCAAGGAGGAGTTTATATTTTGGCCTCTCACCGGGACAGATCTCTCAGTGGATGGCTCGATAATTGTTTGGACCCAGAGACTGAATCAAGATGCCCCAGTTCAAGGCTTGGGAAGGATTCCTTATCTTTGTGTCTAATCTCAGGGCCAGGGTGAGCCTGGACATTCAAATACTGTCCTGAGCCTTGCCAAGCTTCAGCCAGAGGAATTGGTCGGGGTGGGTACGCTTCACTCCCACAGAGGAAATCCCATCCTAGAGTCAGCGCCCAGCTGCTTACCCAAGTTTTTTCTCACTCTCTCTCTCATATGCGCATCACATAACACCTTTCATGAAATCAAAACCATGCATCATTCCCAGGATTATTATATGTGTGGCAACTGCACTCAACTGCAGGTTCCTAAATAAATATGTGTTTAAATAAAGACATCACTGAATATTTATGAATTTCAAGAGACCCATGTGTTTGGTTCGTAAAAGCTGTCAAGTATTTGGAGAGGTTTATTTCCCCTCGAGGTTGGAAGCTTCCTTGAAGGGGTGCCTCTGTCGGGACTTGGGAGAACTTTTAGCTGCCGCCACCGGCACAGAGACGGCGGCCCCTTTCTCAATTCAGTGGCACCTGAAAAATATCAGGAGGCCCATTAGGGATATCGGATGTCACAGGTGTTGAGTAGATCTTAGCATGTTGTTTAGGAATGTTTCCTAGCACACACTTGTGGCGTCCGCCATAAATAAACATA